CAGCCCCTCGGGTCAGTGAGACAGCAACAGGAACAGGCCATTCAGCCAATCAGGATAGTGAGACGGGAGCAGGCCAGTCAGCCCCTCGGGTCTGTTACAATGAAACAGGAAAAGGCCATTCAGCCTTTCAAACCTTTTGTTTTAAAAATTCCCTTGTGGGACGTGGTGGTCACAGATTGGGTCAGTTATAACTTCTGGAGTTAAATACTAAATAAAAACCAAAAGAACTGTGGATATTGTAAATCAGGAACAAAAACAGAAGTTGATGGAAACTCTCAGTGTGTCTGGAGAATCTGTGAAGTGAAATCAGAGATAACATTTCAGGTCTGATGACCCTTCCTCTACTTTTCTTAACTTCCAGAGTACTGTGTCAGGTTCTGGTTGCCCTGCTATAGGAAGGATATCATTAAACTGCAGTGAGTTCAGAAAACGATATTGCCAGGAATCGAGGCTTTCAGCTATACAGAGAGGCTGGATAGAGAACAAAGAACGAAGAACAAAGAAAATTACAGCACAGGAACAGGTCCTTCAGCCCTCCAAACCTGCGCCGATCCAGATCCTCGATCTAAACCTGTCGCCTATCTTCCAAGGATCTGTATCCCTCTGCCCCTGCCCATTCACGTATCTGTCCAGATACATCTTAAATGACGCTATCATGCCCACCTCTACCACCTCCGCTGGCAATGCGTTCCAGGCACCCACGACCCTCTGCGTAAAGAACTTTCCACGCATATCTCCCTTCAACTTTTCCTCTCTCACCTTGAAATCGTGACCCCTAGTAATTGAGTCCCCCACTCTGGGAAAAAGCTTCTTGCTATCCACCCTGTCTATACCGCTCATGGTTCTGCAAACCTCAATCAGGTCCCCCCCCCAACCTCTGTCTTTCTAATGTAAATAATCTTAATCTACTCAACCTCTCTTCATAGCTAGCACCCTCCATACCAGGCAACATCCTGGTGAACCTCCTCTGCACGCTCTCCAAAGCATCCACATCCTTTTGGTAATGTGGCGACCAGAACTGTACGCAGTATTCCAAATGTGGTCAAACCAAAGTCCTATACAACTGTAACATGACCTGCCAACTCTTGTACTCAGTACCCCGTCCGATGAATGAAAGCATGCCATATGCCTTCTTGACCACTCTATTGACCTGCGTTGCCACCTTCAGGGTACAATGGACCTGAATACCCAGATCTCTCTGTGCATCAATTTTCCCCAGGGCTTTTCCATTTACCACACTGTTCGCTCTTGAATTGGATCTTCCAAAATGCATCATCTCGCATTTGCCTGGATTGAACTCCATCTGCCATTTCTCCGCCCAACTCTCCAATCCATCTATATTCTGCTGCATTCTCCGACAGTCCCCTTCACTATCTGCTACTCCAACAATCTTAGTATCATCTGCAAACTTGCTAATCAGACCATCTATACCTTCCTCCAGATCATTTATGTATATCACAAACAACAGTGGTCCCAACACGGATCCCTGTGGAACACCACTGGTCACAGTTCTCCATTTTGAGAAACTCCCTTACACTACAACTCTCTGTCTCCTGTTGCCCAGCCAGTTCTCTATCCATCTCGCGAGTACACCCTGGACCCCATGCGACTTCACTTTCTCCATCAGCTTACCATGGGGAACTTTATCAAACGCCTTACTGAAGTTCATGGATATGACACCTATAGCCTTTCCCTCATCTATCAACTTTGTCACTTCCTCAAAGAATTCTATCAAGTTGGTAAGACATGACCTTCCCTGCACAAAACCATGCTGCCTATCACTAATAGCCCATTTTCTTCCAAATGTAAATAGATCCTATCCCTCAGTATTTTCTCCAGCAGCTTCCCCACCACTGACGTCAGGCTCACCGGTCTATAATTACCTGGATTATCCTTGCTACCCTTCTTAAACAAGGGGACAACATTAGCAATTCTCCAGTCCTCCGGGACCTCACCCATGCTCAAGGATGCTGCAAAGATATCTGTTAAGGCCCCAGCTATTTCCTCTCTTGCTTTCCTCAGTAACCTGGGATAGATCCCATCGGGACCTGGGGACTTGTCCACCCTAATGTCTTTTAGAATACCCAACACTTGCCCCCTCCTTACGCCGACTTGACCTAGAGTAATCAAACATCTATCCCTAACCTCAACATCCGTCATGACCCTCTCCTCAGTGAATACCGACACAAAGTACTCATTAAGAATCTCATTCATTTTCTCTGACTCCTCGCATAACTTCCCTCCTTTGTCCTTGAGTGGGCGAACCCTTTCTCTAGTTCCCCTCTTGCTCCTTATGTATGAATAAAAGGCTTTGGGATTTTCCTTAACACTGTTTGCTAAAGATATTTCATGACCCCTTTTAGCCCTCTTAATTCCTCGTTTCAGATTGGTCCTACTTTCCCCATATTCTTCCAAAGCTTCGTCTGTTTTCAGTCACCTCGACCTTATGTATGCTTCCTTTTTCCTCTTTACTAGTCTCACAAGTTCACCTGTCATCTATGGTTCCCTAATCTTGCCCTTTCTATCCCTCATTTTCACAGGGACATGTCTGTCCTGCACTCTAATCAAACTCTCTTTAAAAGCCTCCCACATATCAAATGTGGATTTACCCTCAAACATGACCTTCCCTGCACAAAACCATGCTGCCTATCACTAATAAGCCCATTTTCTTCCAAATGTAAATAGACCCTATCCCTCAGTATCTTCTCCAGCAGCTTCCCTACCACTGACGTCAGGCTCACTGGTCTATAATTACCTGGATAATCCTTGCTACCCTTATTAAACAAGGGGATTATATTAGCAATTCTCCAGTCCTCCGGGAACTCACCTATGCTCAAGGATGCTGCAAAGATGCTCCCAATCCACATTCCCCAGCTCCTGTCAAATTTTGCTGTAGTTGGCCTTCCCCCAATTCAGCGCTCTTCCTTTAGGACCACTCTCGTCTTTGTCCATCAGTATTGTAAAACTTAAGGAATTGTGATCACTGTTCCCAAAGTAATCCCCGACTGAAACTTCAACCACCTGGCCGGGCTCATTCCCCAACACCAGGTCCAGTATGGCCCCTTCCCGAGTTGGACTATTTACATATTGCTCTGGAAAACCCTCCTGGATGCTCCTTACAAATTCTGCTCCATCTAAACCCCTAACACTAAGTGAATCCCAGTCAATGTTCGGAAAATTAAAATCTCCCATCACCACTACCCTGTTGCTCCTACATCTTTCCATAATCTGTCTACATATTTGTACCTCTATCTCACGCTCGCTGTTGGGAGGCCTGTAGTACAGCCCCAACATTGTTACCGCACCCTTCCTATTTCTGAGCTCTGCCCATATTGCCTCACTGCTTGAGTCCTCCATAGTGCCCTCC